TCACATTAGCAAGAGACCTGGGATTCTCCTTGCATCTTATTCTCACGGCACTCAAATATCAATCTCCAAAAGCCTGGTTTTAATCTGATCCATCTGAAATTCATCACTTTGTCCTAAATAACAACATGAATAACTTCAGAACACAGAGAGGATTTGCCGTGTTCCATGTTCCACGCTCCATGTCCACTGAAACATGCAATTCCCCGGAACAAACTGATGCGACACACCAGATGATAAACGACAAATACTTTAAGATATCACCTGTGAAGGCTGAAGAAAACGAGCCCATTTAAGATATTTTATTTGCACATAAGGAAGGTGAACAGGTCTCCGAGCTTGAATACACCCAAACATCCAAAGGCCATCAAGGTGTAATATATTTCCGTCACAAAATGAAAGGAAGACCTGATAATGAAGGGTTATGGCAATGCCAGGCTGTAAACCTAGATTAGCATACACCTAAGTATACAGGTAGAATCCGAAACTTCATCAAAGAGCAGAGAACAGTTTCAACAATAAAAATAAAATGACTCAGGGCAGTTGCTCAGGAAATTATAGTCTTCCCACTGAGCAGTTGGGTTCATGCGTATGTTATTTGATTGCTCGGATACAAAAGAGAAAAGAAGCTAAGCATTAAAAAAAAAAAAAAAAGATTTTTATTTTTATTTTAATTTTTTTTATTTTTTATTTTAATTTTTTTTATTTTATTTTTTTCTTGTCCTGTTCAGCATTATGGTAGTAGAACTGAAATCTGCGTACCGTGCAATGCTGAGCAAAATTGCGTTTGCTAAATTGCAAATTGCTAAAAAAAAGATTTTTAAGTTGCGATTTCTTTCCAATACAGTTTAGCGGCTATGGTCTCGGTGTTGTCCTTTTCAAGACACACTAGCCATTCAGATGAGTGAAGGCAGGCTTCTGTGTGCAGGTTTTAATGTTAACCATTCAGCCCCTACACTGAGTGACCTACAATCCGCTGGTGCAGTTCTCAAGAGCCATCCCCTGCAGCCTCACAGTCGTCAGCTGACTATCCTGTAACATAGACCATGCCTGAGTCAGGCAACAGATTGCCTCCTTCTCTTGTCATTAGCAAAATGGCCATGAATCTTTCACATTACGGGAGGCCTCATTCTCCGGCTTCTGAATAGATCTGTCTCCTGTGTTAACAGCTAATTGGCTCTGGCGCCATTGTAGCATTCAAGGTAGTCATTTAGGTGCATTACAGGCACGGTTTCGGAGGGTTTCCCAAGCCTCCGAGAGAGGGAGAGGTGGGGTTGGTGACAGCACTTAGGTCATTTAGATCCAAGTAAGAACAATGTGATCAGCTTGAGTGTGCAGGTGTCAGTTGTTTACAACATGTCCCACTGGTTTGACAAGTTACTTGTTTGACTAAAAAGAAGTGTTACTGAACAAAGTACTGTGTTTTACTTTTACCGTGCATATGCACGAACGTTTGCATGTAAGCGAGGGATATAATATGTGGACATGACTGTTGCTTGTCGTTTTTTTTTTTTTTACATGCAGTACATTTGTTTAATGAAATGTTTTCACAAAAAAATAGACCTAATGTTTTTCTTTTGCTGAGCTGTCATGGGCGTGCCCTGTCTCTCGCCCAATGAGGGCCGAGATAGGTTCCAGCCCCCACAGAGGCCTGAAGAGGAAAACAAAGGTTCAAAAAGGAAGAATGGATGAATATTTTTGTTCTATCTTAGAAGAATTAAGAAGTTGTTCTGATTGCAGACTTAACATTTTCAATAAACCTTTCTTTATCATCAATTACAGCAAATAAGAAAAGAGAAAAAATGTTAGATAATGGGTTAAAAGAGGGTTTAGAATTGATTATTTTCCATATCCACTAATAGTTGCCATATAATCCTACCTACTTGCAAGGGCTTTTTATTTTTACTACAAACATGAACCAAGACTTCCGTACCATCATTTGAAAAGCACATGAAATGTGGTTCCGGCCTTTATGTTTATCTGGTGTTAAAAAATCTTTCTTCCATGATCCTAATGATAAAAAAAATCATTTTTTGTCAGGTTAAGGTCTGAGCTCTGTGTGGCTGATCCATGACTGAAAAACTATTCCTTTACAATTTCAGACTAACAAATCATGGAACGACATTAAAAAAAGAAAAAATCCAAGGAAAAAGTGAATCAATGGAAAAATGGAGACAGTTTTTGAAAAAAAAAAGAGCTGTTGGAAGTAATGCACCATGGAAACAAATATATATTTCATTTAAAAAAACACTGCAAAAAAAACACATTCCAGTCATCGCATTTCATTCTTTAACATATTGCTTCCCTGTTTCTCTTTTTCTCATTTCGCATCAGCAAAGATAATAATAAAATGCGTGATCTCGCTGACATGAATGAGTGTTTTAATGGCAATGTAAGTGTAGCCCGGCCCGCTGATTATCCCCACCAAGCATTCCACCACTTCAAAGCTTCAGCCGTAATTACAATGCTGTGAGGTGTGCCCGACCCTTAAAGCAGAGACTTCTGTCACACATGCATGCACACTGTGCCAACATCTCCGCAGTACACACACACAGACAAACATGCTCAGACAAATTACTTTTGCCATTATCAAGCTTAAACGATATTATGGAAAAAAGGAAGTGGGATGTGTGGGTAATTTTGCTACACCCAGGAGGGCACCTCTTTCGTTTCTACCCCGCCTCCTCCTTCCTTCCTTCCTCCAAACCCCTTTCTACTTTTCTGGCAATATTGTTTTTTATAAATGCAGTCACTCCACTATTTACGCCTTTTACAAAGCAGAAAAGCTTAGTATTTCATATGCAATGAATTATGAGCACAGTCAATACATCTCCTCATATTGTTTTCAATTGGGCCTGACATCCCTTATCTGAAAAAGTCATCAGTATGGGGTGTATTATTTATTGATGCATCAGTCTTCCAAGAAAAGCAGATAAATGAGTAGTACTTCCTCTTCCAAATAAACATGACAGATCATAATCCCTGTTTGGTCATATCCTTTTAAGAATCCACATAGGCTGACCAGGAAAAGCTAAAAAATCTGACTGAAACTATTTTTGTTTTGACAGTGGGGATGAAAATGCCAGGAAACATGTCGCCGAAAGGGAAAGAATGAATGAACCAAAATAAACACAATTAGGAAAGTTAAGTCAAGCAAAAAAAATAACTGAACAAATCAATTGTAGGTGGTGAGAGAAATAAAAAAGAGCCTTGGGAATATGTGAAAAAATACCGTAAACACCTTGGATAATTTGGACTCTTGGTGGGAAGCATTAAAGATCGCAAAGAATTTGCTTAAAAAAGAAATATGCGAAAATAACAGTCCACCAAGAGCGTGCTATGTGACTTACAAGATGACTGGAGGGTTACATACACTGTCAGAGAGTTAGAGGCGGAGTGGGTGGAGGAGGAAGGAGGTAGGGATCCTGAGCAGAGCTGTAAAAAAAAAAAAGGGCAACAGTTTCTCCCCTGAGGAGTCGGCTCTTTCATCTGGCCGCTCACTGGCGCCTTCACAAACCTCTGATTGTCTGTGAAATAACCCTACTTTAACAAGGCAGCAGGGCTCAGCCGCCTCCTGGGAGCTGAGCCCTGCTACGCCAGCTACCCGCGCCTGCTAGCTACATGCAACAATCCAGAGGAAAGTTCACACATATTCACAGAGGAAAAGGGCTTTTGATCAATTCAACATCCGGTACGTTTAGAGGTAAAATAGAAAGCTCAGCTGAAAGACAATTTGTTCCTGTGGAATCATAAGCAAGTAATACATGCTCCCCACTTAGGAATAACTTGTGTGAACCCTGTGATGTGAAATTGTAATTATCATTCAGCTGCTCAGATAAGCAAATGCCTTTGTGTTGAGTGCATGCAGTCAGACAAATGAGCCAAAGACTCTTAAACGCAAGAATTTCAACCACCATCAAACTGTAGTTTCTTAAGCTCCGTTTCTCAATAAGTGCAAAGTTCTCTATGAGGTGTTGGGAATTTTCAACCGAAAGAGTGTGAAATTGAGCATGTAGAAAAATCACAATGAGCTTTTTCAGTATAAATCATCGTCAGTTACTTTTGTGTCTGCTCTAGATAGTAAATGTGACTGAATCATAGGACAAGAAGATGAATGACTCAACCCCAGACATGGAGGGAGACATGTGAATTGCTAATCTAGTTTGTGTCCAGTCATGCCTCAGACAACAACTGGACCGATCCAAACATTTTAAGAACAGAATCTGTAATCCGCTTAAGCCATTTACTCTTTCACTTCAGTGTGAAACCCCTCCCTGATTTTTTGATTGCTACAATATAGTTCACAAGATCATTGAAAGTTACAATGGAAAGTCCCAATAAATGCAACACCAAACAAATCAGAGGGAGAAATTAAGAAGAATGGAATGAGTGTTTCATTTTGAGGATACGTTTCCATAATTATCCACATGGGGCCCATGTTTACACATGCAGTCTCATGAGGTTAGAGTTAGAGTTAATCCATTAGTTGAGCTTAACATGTGATGATACTGCTGCACAGTAGTATTTTTTACAGCCCATTTCCCTGTTTTCACTTTAATAACCCACTGAGGTGACATTGGGACAATGTGCACAAAGTTATTAAAGAATGTTAGGACGACTAAAATACACCATTTGGAAAAGTTTTAACTCATAACTGAATTTAAGAATAAATGCTGTAATAAATCAATGCTTTTTGTTATATATCTCTTTTTTAAATTCATTTGTTTATAACCCGTGACCTTAAACTACCCCAAACGTCGTGCTTTCAGTTATCGTCGTGAAACTGTTGAAATTTCCCGCTGTCCCTGAAAGCGGCATGAGCTCAAGCATAAACATCTCCGGCTGCCCTGATTGGTCAGAGTTGAGCCGTGTCAACGCGCACACTCCCTCTTACTACTTGACAACTCGTACCATCGCATTCACGGGGAGGAAAAGTGTCACCTGGCCGAACTTAAAACGACGGTCGGGTCCGCGCGGAGCTCACCTGCTTTTGCGGAGGAGAGATGGCCTCTCGGGAGACTATTAACGACTTGGGGTGCAGTTCCTCGGAGGAGGACGGTAACCGACTGGACTCGCCGGAGCCGGAGGGACCGCGCGAGGAGAAGAAATCTCCGGTCGCGCGACGACATCACCCGTTCAGCGTCGAGGCGCTCATGTCCGGGACGAACACGGACACCCGGGACGGGGACTCCGTCCGCTGTATATCCAAGGGCGGCTCGGTGGTGGCGTCCGCCGCAGATTTAAACTCTTTGTATCTGTGCCGGGAGACGTGTAGCCCCCCCGTGGGCGGCCGCGGGAGTTTGACGAACACGCCGTCGTCTCCGGTTAAATCCGAGGTGTCGGAGTCAGAGGAGTGCGCGCCGTGGGTTCCCCCCGGAGGGTTCCCCGCACAGCCGCGTAAGTTTACCTTTACCAGCTCACCGAGCCCTAATTTCACACCCGTATTCGGCTGGCGTTTCGTTTCGCGGCATGTCTCGGGGCATGACGCCGACTTTATGCCTCAGCTTGAGCCAACTTTCTATCTTAATCCGTGTAAGACTGGCAGAGAGGTGCATCTGCTCCAGAATGTGATGGTGTTGTCTCCAAAGAGGATCCCCTTATGGACAGTTTAGTGAGAAAATACACAGTAAATAAGAGTTTAGTCAGAACTCTGCTGTTGATATGCATATAGGATCAAAGTAGGTGCTCTTGGGGAACATTCTAATGTATTATTTACGTTTTAAACTTTATTTAGAAATATGAATAAGCACACACACACATATGAAGCTACAGTTTGAAAACTAATCCAGCTGTCCATCACAGGAAACCCAGTGTGGACATTTAGTCCAGCGGTCAGATTAGGTGATAATTCGGTGATTTACAGTGCACGTCTCGATCACATCGTAAACCCTTCCTCCTCTCCCAGATCATGTCAGTGCGGGCTGTCAGCTGAGGAAACACAAGACCAACCGGAAGCCCCGCACTCCCTTCACCACGTCCCAGCTCCTGGCCCTGGAGAGGAAGTTCAGGCAGAAGCAGTACCTGTCCATCGCCGAGCGGGCCGAGTTCTCCTCCTCCCTGACCCTGACAGAGACCCAGGTCAAGATCTGGTTCCAGAATCGGCGGGCCAAGGCCAAGAGGCTCCAGGAGGCCGAGCTGGAGAAACTCAAGATGGCGGCCGACGCCAAGACGGCGGCGGCGGCGGCCTCGGCCGCGGGAGGTTTACACCCGGGCTTCACGTTGCCGCTGTCGCTGGGCGCCATGTCGCTGTACGGACAGGCGTACTCTGCCTACCACCACCACCACAGACCCATTCTGCCCATTTCACCTCTGGGACTGTACGCGGCGCCTCTGGGCTACAGCATGTACCACTTATCATAAAAAAAAAAAAAGGAAATATTTTCATATGTTTCAAAGCATTTTCAAAAAATGGACATGGAGGATGTGCGCTTATTTTTTTTAAAGGTTCATGTATATGATGTATCTACTGCACAAGAAGTGCAACTTTTTGGAGCACTTCAAATGAAATTCCTTTTTTAAATATTTTTATTCCAACAGCGAGGATAGATCAGGCTTCCTGCTTGGCCCCCCTTAGACTGCCTGTTTACACGAGGAGGGGTGTTACTGTCCAGCTGTTTATGCTCTTCACTTGTTTACATCTGCAGTAATT